CCACCTCTTGTGCCTGGCGTGTCACGCGAGATCGTGTAAAGTCGTCGAGTCATATTCGCGTCTCTCTCGTGTCTCACCTGTGAGCGCGATGATCTAAGATGACGGGTGTAGCTCGGAGCAGCGCCGCGGTTTATATACTCGAAATGCGCCTTCATATACTCCTCTCAAGTGTCGAATCGAGTACATTTTGCATCCGTGTGACTGAGCATAAACGCCAATCGTATCCGGCGGCAAAAATGAATTTTCTACGGGAACCTGTTCAGCGCGATTTCTACGTCGCTCGTCCGCGCGATGTGATATCGCGAATTGACTCTTCGCTTCTGTGTTTCAAACGTGAGGCTAAACTTCGTCCCTCGTCCGCCGCAGGATCTTCAGGATTACATGTTTTCATGTCGTGTCCACGACTTATCGTGACTTATTGTATACGGTATAAAACAATTACTTCATTCTCACACTCGCAAAAAGGTTGTGAACTGCGTCGGTGGTAGATTGTGCAACAGGCTACTGATAACGTTTGTACATCGAGCACGTCTTTCGTGTTTTCGTAGATCAAAAACAAAGAGTTACACACCAAATTTACGTTGTTTTGCGATCTTATGAACGATTGACACGCCATTTATGACAGGGAGAGAATCAACAGAGTCAGATAGATGTGTGTGTGTGTGTGTGTAAATGCGTGTGTGTATTTGATTGCTAAACAGTTTGCACACATTTTACCGAATAAAGTTACCACGCTTCAAGTTGTCAGAATTGAAAGCTACTGCCGACATGTATATGTGCAGTAATCGGCTATTACATTCATAAAACTTGCTTCTCAGAGTAACGCGTTCTCATACATTTCAAATAAATTCTAGTCTTCATATTTCGCAAATATCATACTCTATACTGTCATAATTCAACTCCTGTCATAACCGACTACTGCATCATACACGTTAGTAATGGCAATTTAAATTTTGACGACTTGACGCGTTGCAACTTCGTTCAATAAAAAATTTCCGTTTAGCAATCGCGTGTACATAGATCGACATAGTAATCTTAACACACAACAACTATTTTAAAGTTTCCCACAAAAAGCACACTTTCTTCTCTAGAAAGATATAACTTTATGCGTTGGGGCTCAGTTATGCCGATCTGTACCTGCGTGGGACACTTAGATGGAAAATGTGACAAAGAATAGCATGTGTATATGAGACATATTTTCGTTCTATACACAAGGACAGAGATCTCTAAGCCTGGGGCACATTGTAACGTTTAAGAACGAAAGTCGGGAAACAAATTCACTCTACATCGAACATCGCGGGGCAGGGTTGGAAGGAAAGGCGGAGGCGGAGACGGCAATACCATTTAGGGACACGTTGCTAGAGCTATAGAAACTAATTGACACGCAAGAGTCAAAGATGTGAGTGTCTTCGGGACGGACAAGTGCGTGTGTTGCGCGAATGCGACAAGATCGACGAGACACCGCCGCTCTCGACACGCGAATTCCGCTCCGAAGTCGTGTTCAAGACCCACGCCATAAATGTGGGAATTAATTTTACGACGATGCGCACCGTGGAGAGCCATTTGCGACCGTAAACCCTAATTCGTAATCGATTTTATTATCCTCTCCGCTGACGTGGCGCGACGGGACGTGGTGCGGTTCGTTTGTTGCATTTTATTTCTGACACTCATATCTTTACTGCTTGGCTACCCCGGCGTAACGATCACCATCGATGCAAGTGTAAAAATAAAATTGTACATAAAAGTTCCGAGCACATTCTGTCCGCTGTATCGTTGGTCGCGGATAAGCGCGGCGTCGGCTGTGCGCGCACACTCAGAGAAAAATACACGGTAATGGCAACAGCTGACAAGCTGCGCGAGTTTTGTATGTAGAGTCAATGTATACAGTTCAATTATCTTGCACTGGGTATAAATGGAACGCTCTTGTATTTTTATGCCGTTGCAATTTTGATGCGCTGTTTTGATCTATGATCTTCTGCCATCTCTTGCACACATTGTTTCGTAAAATTATCACGAGATATAATCGTTTAATTTTATTCGAAAAATCGGAAATTTCTTATTATTCAATTCAAATTTCAATAATTTATTATTATTCAATAATTATCGCATCTAAAGTTGAGTGATTAGAAGAACTATATAGAGAATTATAGATAATTGTACATGATTCTCATTACCAGTCAGATTTAGTTGCAATGATTACAAAATGTTTATTCAATTGTATACATTGATTGATTGATATTGACACACAAAACTCATATTATTGTTACCTGTATAGTTGCCACTACACGGAAAAAAATTTTGGCTAACCAAATCTCTAGTGAAATATAAACAATCCAGAAATTCCTTCCAGTTGATGTTATCAGAATTTCGTCTAAATTATCCAGATATCTTGATAATTTAGACTGAATTATGATAACCTCAAGTGGAATTTTTGGATTGTTCGTGTGTCAACAGAAATTTAGTGAATTCCATCACTTTTTCCGTGTGCATCAGAGAAAAAAATGGTTGATTTAACTAAAATTATAGTTACCTTTGATCTCAACTGTAGTTTTTATTCTTTCGACACAAAGATGGTAGTAAACATGATAGCAACATGCATATAAATTTAATGTCGCCAACATTTTAGTATTTAATAAAAAATGATATTCTTGACAATTTATAATAATTATTTTTCTGCACGATTAGAGATACAAAACATCAAACATTTCTTTCTCAGTGAAATTTTCTGAGTGCGCGAGTGTAATGGAATCGCGGAACAGATCGGCGTTTCTGCTGGCATCTTGTAAATACACCCCCGACCCGACGTCACTTCGCATTTATGATGCTGTCGGACGATCCACTTAAGACGATAATCGCGACGATCTAAATATTGCGACGGAAGATTCAATCTGCTTACGCTTCGAGGGAAACGCTCCGGCGTGAGATGAGAGGCCCGGATTTTCAGACGAGATATTATTTTCTTTCCCTCTCTCTCTCTCTCTCTCTCTCGTTCTCCTTCACTATTATGTCCCGATTAAATCGAGCGAACTGCTCATATCGCTAATTGGAACATTTCATATTTTTGTTCACGATGCGGAAATTTCGTTTCCTTGCTCCAAAGAAGAGAGAGAGAGAGGGAAGGGAAGAAAGAACGTCCCGCGACATTTTCCGGCGAGATAATGCGCGAGCATCTTGTTTATCGCGTATTTTCTCGACGAAGTGTTGCCTCTGTTGAAAAAGTTGAAAAAGTTGAACGGCGATCTACGCGAGCAGGGGACATTAGCTACGGAAAATTTCGTTTGACTAGCTTAATGCGCCGGAGAGATGATCGGCGTCCGTTTCGCCCTCCTCGTGCCGTGGAGGGGGAGACGTCAGGTCTCCAACGGGTCGTGTCGCTAAAATGCGATAACCGGTAGTGGGATTTGGAAGCTCTTAACGTTGATCCGCGCGATCCTCCGCGACATCCTCCGGTGCACTGTAGCGCATGACCTACACGCGCGCGGGACACTCTGGTGAATCGCCGTGACAGGAAGCCAGCCAGAGGCCATCTTCTTCATCCATCAGCTTTCGAGGAGAAGGAACAGGAGGAAGAAGGAGAAGGAACGATGTCCCCGCGACGGATCGAAATGAAGCAGGATTGCCCGGCGTGTAATCGCGAAACTTTAACAACCTCGTCAGGCAAATAATTCTCGCGAAGTTACGTAGGAATTGACGATTCCAACTTTCCGCTCGGCTACCGATTAGCCTCTCCGCCGCCTCCTCCCTTTCCTTTAAGACCGACTGCATCCTTCTCGCGAATAGAGATAACACGATCCCGTGAAATTAAGCGTAATCCTGGACCGAGAAGAAATTAAGGGCAGGATACGGGAGATAATAAGTCCCGCGGGGAACGGACGGGGGTGACTTGTGGGAGGCAGGGAGAGAGAACTATCGACTCTTGGAAAACGTATAATCCTGATTCCCGCGGCGATCTTTTATTTCCCGGCCATTCCTCGACTCGAGCGAGCTCTCTTTAGAAACGATACGTTGCTCGAATACGTTGCCGGCCCTTTCAGGAGAAACTACTCGTCGACCTCGTCTTGCCTCGCCTCGGAGTGCTCGTTATCCGAACGCGATAATGTCGATTCACTCGTCATCCTAGACCACCACCTTCGTCTTCGACTTTCCATCTCACTACCTGTGTATGTGGTTACTTCGTGGTTTCATGGGACTTGCGCAAAGGATAGGTGATAGGTCTGCGGGGCGCGCCGTTGTATTTTTCGCTTGTGAAAATTTCGACGCAGCCGTTGGATCGTGCAATTTTACGTCGAAATTATCGACGATTTGCACGAGTTTCAGACGACTCTGAGTCGATCTTCTTCGTGGCAAAAGCTTCGACCCAAACAGCACGAATTCCCGACAGACATCTGAAGGACGTCCTTCTCTTTGAATGTCGTCTTTAACCCTGAATGTGGATAAAAATTTTCGTAGGTCATCTTCTCACGTTCTTGAAAACGTGTATTTTGTTTCTTCATTACAACTTTTGTCAACTTCGTTGAATTGCAAACACATTAATGAATCCATATTACTCAAAGCTTTCTGCATCGGTTAAAGAAAGAAAAGGATTAAATTTCGATGATTTTTCCAAAAGTTACGAGAAAAAATGAGTAAAACTTAGCCAAACTTAGGATTTTAGGATTAAGACATCTTTTAGGAGTTCGTACTGCCTGAGGAGTTCGTTGCAAAAACCGTGATTTTTTTTTGAATAATAGTTCTTTTTGTCGTTTCCTTTCTATATAATTAGTTGGATATTTTGATCATTGTTATTTTGACGTTCTGATGTTAACGATGCGGCTTTTCACATTGGGAAAAGCACATGGAGCTTATAAACGCAAGCTCGTAGATCACGGCGCGCCTCGAGTCTCACGGATATATATTTATATATATACATATATATATATATGTATGTATGTATGTACAGACATCTTGATAAAAACACGCTTGCCAAATGCGAGTTACCGTTGCTTGACAGTCATAGGTACCTATTAAAGGGACAGCGTCCGAGGTCGTCGGCATGCTTTCTGCCACGAGGTTCAGGAAAACTGTCAGCGACAGCAGAATGGTCACTCCTGCATGGACAGGTCGAAAAATCACACATCAACATTGCGTCACTCGCGTGCGGGGGGCCTAACGTTTTACCTCGGCGTGTGGGAGACGCACCTGGATTTAGGTTCGGCGGTTTATTAGATTGCTGACTTGCCTAAACCGGGGCGAGGGGGTGTAGGGTTCGGGACTTTCGCGCGATCAAGTCGCACGAAAGTGTTTTCGACGCTTTCGTTTCTTTTCACCTTGCGAGCAATGCGGATCAGCTCGAGCTGTGCCGCCACTCGGATCTCCGTGATCACGGGAATTTCCTGGAGTTCGGAGTCGCACTCGCGTATCGTGATTACAATCTGCCGATTAATAGGGCCGATCTGCGACCTGAGCTCCAAGTGGAGCGCGACCTGCTGCCGAGGGCGACCCAGCGAGATTGCGCCTCCGCGTTTTCGATCATGGAAAGGTGCACGGGCCCGGATGATTCGATCTGGGATTCGGCGATGCTCGAACTTCCTACGAGCGTGCTCTAATGCGACGAGACATTTTCTCGTTCGCCGTCTCTCTCGATGGCTCCTCGTCCGCGACGCAGTGTGTCGCGAAATATTCCGCGTGTCTGGTTCGAGGAGGGAGTACGTTTCCTCCCTTGAGCACTACCCCTCCAAATTACATCGCGCGTCCTATTCTTCTCACCTGATCTCTTGCCCTTTTTTTCCTTTCGCTTCCACACACGAGTCACTCGCAGAACAACGTCTCGCGTGTGAGAAATTTATACGGGAGCGAAAGCACGGGGGTGGGAGAATTTACAAAACAACGCGGCGGAGCGAGAAGAATGAGGATGTGATCGCTCTGCCGCATGAGCGCAGGAGATGATTTATGGCCGGTGCTGTGGAGAATTCACCGACTACAAGGTGATATTAATGATGACGACGTCGACGACGACGACAACAACGACGAGAGGACGTCGAGGATGACGTGGTGGAATCTTTGTGCGCGTCATGGCCTCGCAAGAATCGCGGATCGAGCTTGTACGACGATCAAGCGGATGCAACTGCCGCATCAGCCGTCACTCGTCAAAGAATTCCCGGGTCTGCTCGGGATTCATTCGGGACTTTGGGCGGGACGCCTGATCCCAGTAATCGGGATTAACTCGCAAAGTTCGTAACATGTAACAGACGCCATGCGCGGGCGCGCTGTGCTGCGAGGAGCCGCAGCATTAGCGACTTGGACGGCTAAGTCTCTCGGCAACTCCATTACTGCGCAACAGCCTTCAAAGTGACCGGCGAAATTCGATTATCCTTACTACTGCTCACGAGAATTGCGGAACTTCTGCAGACGATTGATGACTCTCGCCGGACAGGCGAGACGGACGGTTTGACCGCGGACTGATTGAGGCGCGCGGCCTCGCGCGCGCGAGTTCCGCGTTTCGCCGTGTGGATTTGTCAAGAGGCGAATAATTCAATTGAGAATCTGGTGTCGAGAACGAACGCTGATTGAAGGGCTGTTACTCTGTGCGGGGTGGGACAGCAGAGGGATGAATGGACGATTGGTAACAAGCGGCAGCTTGCACGCGCAGAAAATTTTTCAGTGAAAGTCACGCTGAAATCCCAAGTCGCAATTTTAGCTCCGCTCTTCACCTGAACACCCCAACATCTGTGTATATTCTGAAGGATATCAATATATTTAATATATACGGAGACTGAAGACTCACTCTGTATCTTCAAGTGACAAGAAACGCACAAAATGCTACTTTAGGTTCTAAAGAGGACTTTTCAGCGAAATTTGTAAATTAAGTAGAGTCAAAGAAGATTGACATAGGTTTCAATAATCTCTGTTAATTCCACTTAACTTCGTAACTTTGTCGGGAAGAACCCATGAGTGGTATTTTGTTCGTGTTCTGTCATTTAGAGACTTCAGTTTCCACGTATATTAAATATACACGGTCCTTCAGAATATAATAACAGATATTAGAAAATACTGAAAATAGGGCTCAAATTTCGACTCGGGAAGTCAAATATACGTAATATTTTTCAGTGAATATATAATAATTTCTGTGTTGTCGGAAATTATAAAAATTTGTTATAATGTTTGTTATAATATTTTCCTCATATACGTTACTTTTTTCAGAATACTTGAATCGTGTTGCAATCTCATTTTTACGTAATTCAATTTTTACCAACTTTTTTGATGCCAAATTACGCGTTAAGGGGTTAAGAGGATGCCGAAGTAGACGACAAACTCGAAGAATGTCAATAACGTAGAGGCGATCGTCACTAATATGATCGTCTTTTTCGTATTTCTTGTACATAGAGATCTTACATAAACGTATGTTGCTTTGTTTTACCATACTAGCAGAAAGGTTTTCACAAGTATGGCATTTCCTTAAACGGACATTTATTTGAAATCTTGCGAATGTCTCATGAGAATCTCGAACACATCCGCTTAAGATCGATCTTGTCTCATACGCGTAGAGGCAGCCGATGGCCTTTCGTGCTTTAATTCGTTTAAAGACTCGTTTAAGCAAGGCGCGATGGCTAGCACGGGGTCGAATAAGAGTACCGTATTCCGATGAGATCGACGGGCTTAAAACCGCGACAAGGTGCATTCGCGGCGGGTGGCAAACCGCCAATAACATCGGAGGGTTGTCGGTCAGCGAGGGAAGGCACGGAGCTTGAGGAAGGCTGACCAATTAATTCCTTCCTATTAGACGCGAACGTGCGCCGAAATGCGGGTACGTGTACGGCGGGCACTTTCTTTTTTGTCAGAGGCACGATTTTCAATTAGATTCGCGCGCACGAGTAGTGCACGACCCGCTTTGATCGTGTATAGCGCGCATGACGGATTCGAGAAATGAGTTAGCTGACAAAAAACAAAGAGAGATTGATGGTAGCACAATTATAAAGCGAAAATTTAATCGTTACATCCGCGCGAGCGAGGAGGAAATTTCTCTATAAATTAAAAAAAGGAGAAAGGTCTATAAGAGAGCCAATATACAGATGTAATGGTGTAATTAAACTAACTGAAATTATTAAAGTTAGTGTTCACTGAATGTATAGAGAAAGTATTTATTTCACAAAAAATCAAGTATTATTGAATTTATCTTAAAGTTCTCTACAATATTATGTAAAAAAAAGTATGGTGCTATTTAAAAAATTTAAGGCAAGTTGTAGCGAAGCAGTAGAAAATTTACCTTGCAATCTTACTCTTAAACAGTTGGAAGTGTCTAAAAAATCGTGCGGACCGTTACGCTGAACAGCCTGCATATATTGAATTTCGATTTTCTCCATAACATTTTTTTTTTTTTTTACATGAATTCACGTCCTCGAGGTGTTTTCAATGATCTGTCGTTTCTCAAGATATCGCGATCACTGACGCATTCGGTAAATTTTGTTCCATGAAAAAGAAAGGAGAGTCCCCCTTAACTCCGCCAACGACCGCGTTTATCCTCTTTATGCTCCCAAAAAATGTGTTTGTCAGCTACCGTGAATCACGTCCGTATATTTATGCGGAAAACGACGTGCTACGTTTGGTTACGTACAGGAAATGCTCAACCGTGCGGATTCTACGAAAACAAGAGTGTCTGCCAAAGATCCCTCTACAGTCGATATTCCGTGAGGGAGAACGAAAAACAGTGATAAATTTCGGACGAGATGATTTAAATGGATACGAGCATTTCGTAGAGCTGGCACAGCGCGCGCGCGACTCTTTTTTTCTTTTTCTCTCCATCTACCGCGATGCTATTTCCGTTGCTACATTCATACATGCGGAGGACGCGCATCCCTGCGTCCTTTGCATAAATATGAAACAAAGAATTTTAATGCGGAGTACGGGGATTTTCCATATGAAAGGAAATCGCGTAAGGACATCGGTCTGTTTTCTCTTCGCGCGCTTTGAAGATGGAAAATTGGATTAAACACTGGCAATTTTCCCGAGTAAAGTACGCATCCCAATTATTTTCTGTTCATTTTTTTTTTTTTTACCTAATCTTCCGAGTGGCATAAAATATTTGTTTTCTAGTTAGAAAATGAGTATCTCCTCGCGAAATTTTTAAACAACAAGTCCGCAACTTTCGTCGTTCGTTGCGCCTTAACACTAGAATACCCGATAGAGTCATTTTAGGCTCCTTTAAGGTCTTGCTGTCGCCATTTTCTGTTGTCCTGTAGAATGGGTGGAGCAAATCTCTCGTGACCATTGATTATTTCTAAAGTAGAACGTGCTGAAAGAGTCCCGAGTCGAAATTTTGGCTCTATGTTAAATCTTGAACTTTACAACGCAGTAAGAGCTAAGTTAACAAAGTAGATTTGATTCTAATGATACAATTTGCTCCTACTTTGACTCTAATGATACCCGAAATTTCTCTTTTCACTTTCTTTAGCGTCAAAATAGGTTATATTATAAGAATTCAGAATATTAAAATAGATGTTAAATGAGATATTGAATGAAACTGAAAGCAGAATCAAAATTCCGTCCGTGGAGAATTATATTAAGTTTGGAGAAATTATGAAAATTGTTGTAATTTGTTTGCAATATAAAATGTCTGTATTGCGCAAATTATGATCTTAGCGTGTTCACGAGTCATCACTGATACGAGTAATGAGGAACAGAGAGAGGAACACAGACAGAATTTCAAAATATCAGAATTGCGTAAGTAATCAAAGCGACTTTTCCAGCTATCCCAGGGGATTTGTCGTTCCCGGGAATTCTAGTGTTAGATCACACGCGGAACGACGATCCGAAGTTCGCGGTGCAATCTCATTCGCATCTGATTTTTCTCCCGACACACGAGTCTGTCGCACGTGTTACAACACCGCCGCGGGATTCATGCAAGCGTCTCCTAATGGAATTCCAGCGAAGCGAAGCACGAAACGCGCACCTGTTCTCGAGCGGTTGCCTTGAGAGAAGAGGGAGAGGAGGGACGGCATCCCCACGAAGTCCGTTTCTACGGACGTTATACCTTTCCTCAGGACAGGCTGTGCTGGTAGCAAAGCCATCGCGTCGCTAGCACGCTTATGCGCCGTGACGATAAATCACTTTG